GGAATACCATTGCAATTCATGAATCGAGATGTGATTCTACACATTGGCCGCTCACTTGGAATGTTCTTGGATGTCGACTACAATCCGGAAGTGGAAATTCGGGTAGAGTTTGTTCGAGTAAGAGTTAATTGGGATGTGCGAAATCCTCTCTGTTTCCAACGACATTATCAATTCACAGTTGGCGTCAATACTCTACTGACATTCCGGTATGAGCATCTCCGTGGTTTCTGCTCAGTCTGTGGAATGATCACACATGATTCTGGCAATTGTGTTCTCCAAAATGGCGGGGATGCAATTCATGCCGAAGGAGAAGATGAAGATGACCAGGCCCAAATGCCGAATGGTGATCAGCCAGGCAATCCTGGTGTTCATATTGAAGAGATTGTTGAAGAAGAAGCACACGCTGCGGCCGAAGCATCTGTTAATATCGATCCTGATGACCAACTAGACTACATTCCTTTGGAGGCTGTTGCGAGACCTAATCTGCCTGATGCAATGGGAGACACATCCAGTGAGGAGGAAACAATGAATATATTGATCAACCCCCATCCGTCATTTACTGAAACTGCAGAATCGGAGGCTGAATCTGATAGAATCCTCCAACCTGGCAATGCCAAAGCTATCATCACCCAAGGTATCACTATGCGTACAAAGTTTGATGAAGAATCTGACTCTGATGATTTGCTTGATCAGTATGATGAAATGGATGTGCACTTCAACTCACGTGGAAAGCGTAAGAGGGATGTACGAGCCTACTTTTGTAAGAAAGGACGTATTCAAGGCATCTGCGAACAAAGTGAAGGCAGTGGATCGCAGAACTCCAAGGTTACACAAAATCGAGGCGCGGTGGGCCCAAAACCACCAAATGTGCAATGAGGACAGCCTGTTGGAACTGTCAAGGACTTGGCATTGACTTGACAGTTCGACGCCTAAAAGAGATCAATCGCAAGTATCTCCCGGACATCCTTTGCCTATCGGAAACAAAGCAACAAGACAATTATATTCGTGATGTTGGTGCTCAGCTTGGTTTCCTTAACTATGTAACAGTCCCGCCTATAGGGCTTAGTGGTGGTTTAGTAATCTTCTGGAAGCAGCAAGTTCAAGTTTCTGTGTATTTTCAATCTCTCAATCTCGTTGATTGTGATGTCAGTTTTAATGAAAAATCTTTCTACTTATCGTTTGTTTATGGGAATCCTACACCCAGTCTGCGTAATCATACATGGGAAAAGCTTGAGAGAATAACTTCAAATCGGAGAGGAGTACCTTGGTTTTTACTGGGCGATTTCAATGAAATCTTAGGTCATCATGAGAAGAGGGGTGGTCGTAGAAGAAAGGATAATACGTTCAATGATTTTCGTCGAATGGTGGCAAATTGTGACCTTACAGATATCAGGTCTGTTGGGAACCGTTTTTCTTGGGTTGGACAACGAGGACATCATCGAGTCACATGTTGTTTGGATCGTACTATGGCAAATAGTAGTTGGCATACAGTCTTCCCTGCATCAGAGACAATGTTTTTAGAGATTGCAGAATCTGATCATCGTCCGTTAGTTACTTTTATCTCAGATTCAGTGGATGATGAGAGACGTGGTAGTTTCCGATATGATAGCAGATATCTTCATCATGAGGGATTTCGGGAATCAGTGATTCAAGGCTGGAATGATCATAGATTTGTGAACTCTGAACCAAACTTGATAAAACGCATTGAATGCTGTAGGAAGAGAATCTCTGCGTGGAAGCGAAGAAACCGTCTTAATGATGCCGAAAAGATTGCAACTATCCGTGCTACTCTTGATAATGATATTACCCTGGGAACCTTACCTACTACCGAAGTCCATCAGTTAAAAAAGGAGCTGAATCAAGCTTATATAGATGAAGAAAACTTCTGGAAGCTGAAAAGCAGAATTATGTGGTTAAAAGAAGGTGACCGAAATACGAAATTTTTCCATTCAGTGACGAAGACAAAGAGAATAAGAAACACAGTTTCTATGATTCTTGATGATACTGGAGTTTTGCGGCGGGGACAAAAAGAGATTACCACGATTGCTGTTGATTACTTCAAAACTCTGTTCGCTGCGGGACCAGATCCTTCACTCCTATTTGAGAATGTGTTCCATGATTTTTAACCGAGAGTCACTCCAGATGTTAATAATGATCTGATAAGAGAGGTTACTTATGACGAAATAAAAGATGCAGTATTTGCCATCAGTTCACATCGAGCTCCAGGTCCGGATGGTTTTACAGGTGATTTCTATCAAAGATTTTGGGAAGAAGTAAGCCCGGCAATACTCTCGGAAGTTAAACGTTTCTTCTCTGATAATATTCTGGATCCAAAGCATAACCATACAAACCTCTGTTTGATCCTAAAAGTTCAACCCCCTACGATGATGACAGAGTTCCGCCCTATTGCTCTATGTAATGTTGCTTACAAGATCATATCAAAAATCTTGGTAAATATATTGAAGCCTCATTTGAATGCTCTCATCTCTGAAAACCAGTCTGCTTTTATTCCTGGATGCATGATCATGGATAACATCTTAATCGCCCATGAAGTTTTCCATAGTTTAAAGACTCGACGAAGACAAGCAAATTCCTATATGGCTTTAAAAACAGACATCACGAAAGCCTATGATCGATTAGAATGGAGCTTTCTTGAAGAAACTATGAAACAGATGGGTTTTGCTACTCAATGGATTAAATGGATCATGATTTGCGTTTCCACTGTCAGTTTCTCTATTCTTATTAATGGTGCTGCTGAGGGTCTAATCATACCATAGAAAGGACTACGACAAGGAGATCCTCTGTCGCCATATCTTTTTATACTTTGTGCAGAGGTTCTGTCTCACCTGATGAATCGCGAAATGATCTCGCGTAAGCTCAATGGAATCAAAATCAGTAACAACACCCCTTCTGTGAGTCACCTATTATTCGCTGATGACTCTCTATTTTTATCTCTCGCCAACACTCGTACTGCTCAGAATTTAAAGCATATATTGGGAACATATGAGGCAGTCTCAGGGCAAGCTGTAAATTTGCGAAAATCATCTATTACATTTGGTAACAGAGTTCGACCTCATATCAAGCGTGGAGTGCGACAAATTCTGGGTATCCATAACGACGGTGGAGGAGGTAAATATTTAGGCCTACCAGAACAGTTTGGTAGAAAGAAGTCTGAAATGTTCTCCTATATAATCGATAAGGTAAAAGGAATAACTCAAGGCTGGAGTAAAAAATTTCTTTCTCATGGAGGTAAGGAAATTCTTCTAAATTCTGTGGCTTTGGCGATGCCTATCTTCTCCATGAATGTATTTAAACTCACCAATGAGGTTTGTGAGGATATAAACGGGATCCTGGCAAGATTTTGGTGGAGTTCTGATGACAGTAAAAGAGGAATGCATTGGCATTCTTGGAAGAGATTAAGTATACCCAAAAAAGAAGGAGGGCTTGGTTTTCGTGATCTTGAAAACTTTAACTTAGCTTTACTGGGAAAACAAGTATGGAGAATCTTGATTAATCCAACTTCCTTAATGGCTTGTGTGCTAAGAGGACGCTATTTCCCAGATGGAGACATTCTCACAGCAAGAACGGAAAGACAACCTTCTTATGCTTGGAAATCCCTGCTACAAGGGAAGGATCTTTTAAGTCAAGGTTTGCGCTATGTAATTGGAGATGGTACATGGACGAACCTTTGGACAGATAAATGGCTACCAGTTCATCCGCCGCGTGCTCCTAAACCCAGAAATGATGTCCTCAACGACATTAAAGTCTCTCATTGCCTGAACGATCTGCGCAATGGTTGGAATGAATCAAAAATACGTGAGATAGTGGATGATGAAGATATTGATAAAGTTCTACGAGTAAAGATCTGTCCATCAGCAAAGGCTGACTTACTGGGATGGCATTACAATGAAGATGGTAACTATACTGTTAAATCGGGTTACTGGTTGGCAACACATTTACCGAACTCAGATTGTCCACAACCTCCACCAGGTGATATTCCACTTAAAAAAAGAGTATGGAATCTCCAAACGGCACCTAAAGTTCAACATTTCCTTTGGCGAATGATTTCTGGATCTTTAGCTACAGGGGATGCTCTTCGGAGAAGACACATTAATATACATTCGGTCTGTAAAAGATGTTGCAGGGAAGATGAAACTCCTAAACATCTATTTTTTGATTGCGTTTATACACAAGCCATTTGGCGTGGATCAGGTATTTCGCAACCCTTTCTTTATGATCAAGCTGCCACTATAAAACAGAAACTAGATGTGATTATCGACTGTAACTTGACTACCCGGCTGGCTCATTTTAAACATCTCCCACTATGGATTCTATGGAGGATCTGGAGAAGTCAAAATCTACTTGTTTTTCAACACAAGCATCTTCATTGGACAAAGGTTATTCAACTGGCGAAAGAAGATGTCAGGGAATGGGAGGAACTGAATACTCATTTTGTTCAGAATAGAAGTACAAGAATCTCAACGAGTTCACTAGCAATATCAACAACATGGAAGAAACCTTCATCTGGATGGATCAAATGCAATTTTGATGGCTCTTTCAGGAACACAAACCTTGCTTTCAAAACAGGCTGGGTTTATAGAGATGAAAAGGGAACTTATAAAGGATCAGATCAGGCTCAAGGGTTGGCTCTTAACAATGCACAAGAAAGTGAATTACAAGCGCTGATTATAGCAATGCAACATAGCTGGAGTCGTGGATATAAGAAAGTCATCTTTGAAGGAGATAATAAAAAGGTTATAGATCAGATTAATGAGAAAAAAGCTCAATTTTGGTGATTATAATTGGATCAGAGAAGTTCGAGCTTGGAATCATCGCTTTGAGGAAATCCAATTTTATTGGATAAGCCGTATACATATTCAAGGGGTGGATAAATTAGCAAAATATATAATCCCAAATAATGACTTATTTAGTTTCTATTTCTATGTACTCTTTACATCTGATTTACATAGAGATTATGTAAACTCTTCTTCTTAATAAATTATATCTTTGATGGAAAAAAAAAAATGAAATAAACGTTTGAGCCAGGTCAAAAATAAAAGGCCCAGCAGTAATGGGTAGTCGGAGAAATTGCGCAGAGAAAAAAAATCCCAAACCAAAAAAAAAAAGGTTCTAAGAATCTTCGGAACGAAACCATTTCACCTACAATCTCTCCGTCTCCTCTATAAATATTTGCTTCTGATTAGAAATTAGAAACCCTTTCTTCCACAATTCTTAGTATCGAATTTATCTCTTTGGGTCCATTTTTTTTTTCTTACTCCTCCGATAAATCTCACTCTCTTCTTCGTCCCTGATTCTTCGTCTCTGATTTTGAGAGTCGAAATCATCTTCCTCTCTCGTTATCTTTCGCTATTTTTCTTTCGGCGAATCAGTAACCTAATCTACCAGTTCCGTGTGAACAGAGAAAGATTCTTTGAAGAATCTTCTTAATCCGAAATTGATGCTGCGAGATTGAGTCGAGGTTTTGGTGATTGAATCGAGGTTTTGAGGGTTTTTTTAATTTCTGCGGAGGATATCGAATAATTAGGTATGCGAGTGGAAGGAGATAACATGGTGCCTCAGAGAAATGAAACAGATGAAGAAGTGGTACTTAATACGGCGTCGTTTCAACAAGTCCAGCAACAGCAGAAGCAGAAACTCGTTATTGGGTATGCTTTGACATCTAAGAAGAAGAAGAGTTTCTTGCAACCCAAGCTTGAGGTTCTTGCTAGGTACGAAGTTAAACCATTTCTTCTTATTCTCATCTTTCTCTATGCCCAAAGAGCTGTATAACAACAATCAATTGATGAAACCGTTGGAACAATCGTTAGTTTGAATTATATTATTGAAGTTCTTTACTTTTGGCGTTTTCAAACAGATTGTTGGTGTTCCTGTGTATGATCAGTTTGGTAGTTTTGGTTTTAAACAGTGTGATATTGTATTTTGGTTTGATTTCCATTTTGCCATGTTTTATCCATAATCGAGTGATTGCACTAGTAGTGCTTGTGGGATTAGGAATCTCTTGTTCTCTGGGAATATTCCTTTACTTAAATCCTTTTGGATTAGTTCCACTTGGAGGTCAAAATGTCTTCAGGGCTTGATTTATAATTTAAAAACTAAATTTTTTTTGTTTCACTTACTTTTTCTCATGCTTGGAAATCTTCTTAGCTACTTTCTGTATACTAGTCAAAACAGTAAACTTTGTTTTGTTAGAAAACCACTTAAGAGAAAGATTTTGTTAATAGAAATAAGAAGTTTTGTTTTTCTTTATCTGCTGTTGAGTCTTTGCTTTTGCTTTAGCTTTAGCTTTGCACAGATTTTTGATCAACCATTAGCTTTCTTATTCTTTTTTCTTTTCCAGAAGCATTTTAAAGAAGACGTTGACATTAGCTCTTGTTTTGTGTTTATAGGAAAAAAGGCATTTCCTTTGTTTCCATTGACCAGGACAAGCCACTCTCTGAACAAGGCCCATTTGATGTCGTTTTGCATAAGGTTTGTGTGGCATGAAAAATGTCTTTTTTTTGCATCTATGTTGGAAAGTTTAGTTTTCCTTGAAACCTAATGGATTATATGATTTTTCGCTTGCAGTTGCTTGGAAATGAGTGGCACGATGTTATTGAGGTTCGACAAACTGGCTTCCTTCTCTGTAATGTTTTCCTCTTCATGGAGCTGTAGTTTAATTTCTGCTGTAACTACTGATGCTAGTTCTAATCCATTCCTGTGATTCTTGCAACTATCTTAGCAGTCAACTTAACAAATAGTTTAATTTGAAGATTCAGAGCAACTTGGTTCTGCCCTTGGTTCATTATTCAACTAAAGTAGGATAAGTATTAGATAAATGAGTGTCATGTTTGAATAGTAGCATCAGATCTTCTGTTCTGCAACTTACAAAATCAGTTTATACTTATGTCTCTCTTTTCGGCATTTGTAGGATTACCAGCAAAATCATCCAGAAGTGACCGTGCTTGATCCTCCAGGTGCAATCCAGCGTATATATAATCGACAATCAATGCTCCAGGGTATTGCAGATTTAAATCTTGCAGAATGTGATGGTAACTTCTATATGACAATTGCAATTATCATTTATTTGTTATAGTAGGAAACTCGAATATTTTTTTCATGAATGAAATTGCATTATGATTTCTTTGTAGGCATGATATGTGTTCCAAAACAAATGGTTGTCTTAAAAGATACAACATCTAGTGCTGACGAAGTTGAAGAAGCCGGTCTAAAATTTCCACTAGGTATAAATACTGGGATCTAAAGTTTTTATTCTACATTTTCTTCCCCTCAAATGGTTACAGTTGATTAAACCTTCTTTTTTGTTTACGTGTCCAGTTGCAAAGCCACTTTTGGTCGATGGAACTGCAAAGTCACATCAGCTGTTCTTAGCCTATGACCGTCTCTCGCTTGCAGAACTTGAACCACCTTTGGTTCTTCAAGAATTTGTAAATCATGGTATCGGGTTTACTTTACACTTATGATATATCTGCTTGAATCTGGAACGCAATCTTGACACACTTTTATGCCTCAAAGGTGGAGTTCTCTTCAAGGTTTTCGTTGTTGGTGATGTGATAAGAGTGGTCCGAAGATTCTCTCTACCAAATGTAAGCAACGTTGAAAAATCCAAAGTTGCTGGTGTATTTCAATTCCCAAGGGTATCATCTGCTGCAGCTTCAGTTGACAAAACAGAATTGGACCCTCGTGTTGCTGGTTAGGATCTTGCCTTTTCTTATTTCTAAATCTACTGTATTTGACTTTGTGCCGTATTGTATATTTATGTGTTAGTTGTTGCTGCAGAGCTACCTCCAAAGCCTTTGCTCGAAAGGCTTGTGAGAGAATTACGAAGCCGATTGGTATGCACCGTATATGATATAAATCGATAGAGTCTATAGCTGTTTCCCAATCTAAGCGTTTAAATTTCTGTTGTGTTGCTGCTCATAGGGACTCAGGTTGTTTAACATAGACATGATCAGAGAACATGGGAGCAAAGATGTGTTTTATGTGATTGACATCAACTACTTTCCTGGCAAGTTTTTTACTACATTTCTTTAAAGGATCTCTCTGTGGTGTTGCTTAATCAGATGATGTCATTGTTATTGATTTGTGGGTTCAATTGCAGGGTATGGAAAGATGCCGGATTACGAGCAGGTGTTCATCGATTTCTTCATGAGCCTGGCGCAAACGAAGCATGATAAGAGATAGTGTGAAAAGGTGGAATAGAATTGTGAAGGAGGTTAAAAGTGATATAAACTCTTGCGTTTCTGAAATATTATTCTGTTGAGATCATAGCTATGTACAGAAAATAGCTTTTCCATGATAAAACAAGTTTTGATTTAGTGATCTCATACATCTGTTATTTAAGTCCATCTTTTCTGCAAAACTGATTTTGACATTCTTCTTTTACCATCACAGTATTGTTTCTTTTGCTCTCTGAAAATAGCTTTTGAATTTTCTTTAAGTCAGAACTTTAAGCAAAACCGGTTAAAATGCGATGTTTAAAATAAAATGACTTATAATACGTGTTGGACTTATTTTTACTATGTCTTCAAGGAAAGACACGATAGGTTTAATCGTAATGATGATTTTTTATTTAAGCTTGTCTAGCGATTTTTTGCTAACTGTTTTTCCGTAGTTTGCGAATTTTCCAAATCGTAAACATACTATAGTAGTATATCTATTCTCTCTGAACCATTCCGATGGAAAATTACAAAAAAATGGAGAAAATCGCATAAAAAATTCTTAAAGTGACTATTATTACTGACACTTTAAACCTGTAGAATATTTCATTAACATTATAAACCTTCAGCTTAAAAACATTAACACGAAAAACCTCTAAATTAAATTTCCAATTGCATATACCCTCAAGATATTTGACGGCAGTTCATTTCCCGTTAAATTTGATAATGTGGTGTTAAAAATTTTACCATTTTTAATAGGAAATATTTAATTTTACGGATTAAATTATTAATTTTAAGAAATTCTATTAAAATAATCAAAATTTTTATTTTTCTTCTTTCGGCTTTCGATCATTTTTTTTCTTTTACTATCCTCAATAAGGTTTACAGCTCTATTCGATGAGGGTAAAGAGCCAATATGCTTTTTTAGATTTAAAAAAATCTGAGTATCCGTCTCATAATATCATTATTCCCCTCTTATTCTTTTCTGTATTTTACCCTCACCTTTTCTTTTTAATTTAATAATATCTTACAAACAAAAAAATAATAATTTAATTTAATTCTTCCAACTAATTTTGAACCATCCCGATTCTACATCTTCATCTTCTTCATGGTGGGTTAGTTTGAGATCCATCTTCATTCATGTTTCCTAAAACAGAACATTTTCCATCTTGAAGCTGTTTGAGAACTTTATAAGGTGAGTCCGTTTTTTGCATGTTTTTTTACTGCATTATCTCCTTTATATGCGCTTTAAATCTTAGAATAATAGAGAGTGTTACACATTGTTGCTCTTAGTCCTCTAATGGCATCATAGTTCTGAAATTTTTGTGGATCATTAGGTAATTTAAATTCTTTGCCAAGTGATAACAAGATTTTTCTAGGCTTTAACTTATCAAATCCTAAAGCAAAGCATAGTGGTAAGTACTTTAGGTGTCAATCCAGCTCAGGTTGATGAAAAATACTAGGAATGCAAAAACTTTGTAAAGCTAAGTGAAATCTGGATTAATTAAGGAGAAAATCTATGAAAGCTAAATGCAACAACTAAATGACCACGAAAACTATTTTAAAATCCCTACTGATGAGTTAAACAGATACTAGATGGCTTCTAGGGATTTAAAATGCAAAACTACTAGTTTTTTAAAATTCGAAAACTAAAGGCAGACAGAAAAGGAAAGTTCTAACAACCTAGGATGATATTCAAGGAATGAAACCCAGGGCGACTTGAAACGTAAATCATATTTACACATGCAACCAACAGGCGTTTCAAGTGTAAATTACAGTGGTTTCGTCAATCCCCTCCGCATTTGATCATATTAAGTTTTTTATTTTTTACAGAGATTCAAAAAAATATAACTTCGAAATATGCAATTGTGGAAGGCAATTAGTCACGCATGCTGAATTGTGAAATAGGCCTCCTGCTTATTTCAATGGTTATCTTGAAGGCTGGCCCCTCTGTGTTCAGGGTACCATTACTACTTCTTTTTCTTCAACATAAGCGTGAGAAAAAGCCTCACGAAGACTACTATGCTCGCACGCATGACCCCAGCTGGCCTCTTGTTTGGTGTTGGCATCATGGAAGGACATCGGCACGGTTACAGCCCCTCGGGCAAAATTTTTGTTTCCGTTTCGATCGCTTATTTACACATGAAACCCAGGGCGACTTGAAACGTAAATCATATTTACAAATGCAACCAACGGGCGTGTTCAGGTGTAAATTACGGTGGTTTCGTCAATCCCCTCCGCATTTGATCATATTAAGTTTTTTTTTTTTTTACAGAGATTCAAAAAAATGTTACTCGAAATATGCAATTGTGGAAGGCAATTAGGCACGCATGCTGAATTGTGAAATAGGCCTCGTGCTTATTTCAATGGTTATCTTGAAGGCTGGCCCCTCTGTGTTCAGGGTACCATTACTACTTCTTTTTCTTCAACATAAGCGTGAGGAAAAGCCTCACGGAGACTACTATGCTCGCACGCATGACCCCAGCTGGCTTTGTGGTAAGAGGTATTGTATGATGTTGGCATCATGGAAGGACATCGGCGCGGTTACAGCCCCTCAGACAAAATTTCTGTTTTCGTTTCGATCGCTTATTTACACATGAAACCCAGGGCGACTTGAAACGTAAATCATATTTACTCATGCAACCAACGAGCGTTTCATGTGTAAATTATAGTGGTTTCGTCAATCCCCTCCGCATTTGATCACATAAGTTTTTTTTTTTTACAGAGATTCGAAAAAATGTTACTTCAAAATATGCAATTGTGGAAGGCAATTAGGCATGCATGCTGAATTGTGAAATATGCCTCTTACTTATTTCAATGGTTATCCTGAAGGCTGGCCCCTCTGTCTTCAAGGTACCATTACTACTTCTTTTTCTTCAACATAAGCGTGAGGAAAAGCCTCACAGAGACTACTATGCTCGCATGCATGACCCCAGCTGGCTTTATGGTAAGGGGTTTTGTTTGGTGTTGGCATCATTGAAGGACATCGGCGCGGTTACAGCCCCTCGGGGAAAATTTCTGTTTCCGTTTCGATCGCTTATTTACACATGAAACCTAGGGTGACTTGAAACGTAAATCATATTTACTCATAAAACCAACTGGTGTTTCATTTGTAAATTACGGTGGTTTCGTCAATCCCCTCCGTATTTGATCATATTAAGTTTTTTTTTTTTAAAAGAGATTCGAAAAAATGTTACTTTGAAATATGCAATTGTGGAAGGCAATGAGGTACGCATGCTGAATTGTGAAACTGGCCTCCTGCTTATTTCAATGGTTATCTTGAAGGCTAGCCCCGCTGACTTCTGGGTACCATTACTACTTCTTTTTCTTCAACATAAGCGTGAGGAAAAGCCTCACGGAGACTACTATGCTCGCACGCATGACCCCAACTGGCTTTGTGGAAATGGGTTTCGAGGAATGAAACCCAGTGCGACTAGAAACGTAAATTATATTTACACATGCAACCAATGGGCATTTCATGTGTAAATTATAGTGGTTTCGTCAATCCCCTCTGCATTTGATCATAGTAAGTTTTTTTTTTTAACAGAGATTCGAAAAACTGTTACTTCAAAATATGTAAATGTGGAAGGCAATTAGGCACGCATGCTGAATTGTGAAATAAGCCTCGTGCTTATTTCAATGGTTATCTTGAAGGCTGGCCCCTCTGTCTTCAGGGTACCATTACTACTTCTTTTACTTCAACATAAACGTAAGGAAAAGACTCACGGAAACTACTACGCTCGCACGTATGACCCCAGCTGGCTTTGTGGTAAGGGGTTTTGTTTGGTGTTGGCATCATGGAAGGACATCGGCGCGGTTACAGCCCCTCGGGCAAAATTCCTGTTTCCGTTTCGATCGCTTATTTACATATGAAACCCAGGGCGACTTGAATCGTAAATCATATTTACTCTAGCCACCAACGGGCGTTTCATGTGTAAATTATAGTGGTTTCGTCAATCCACTCCGCATTTGATCATATAAAGTTTTTTTTTTTTACAGTGATTCGAAAAAATGTTACTTCAAAATATGCAATTGTGGAAGGCAATTAGGCATGCATGCTGAATTGTGAAATAGGCCTCCTGCTTATTTCAATGGTTATCTTGAAGGCTGGCCCCTCTGTCTTCAGGGTACCATTACTACTTCTTCTTCTTCAACATAAGCGTGAGGAAAAGCCTCACGGAGACTACTATGCTCGCACGAATGACCTCAGCTGGCTATGTGGTAAGGGGTTTTGTTTGTTGTTGGCATCATGGAAGGACATCGGCGCGGTTACAGCCCCTCGGGCAAAATTTCTGTTTCCGTTTCGATCATAGTAAGTTTTTTTTTTTTTAACAGAGATTCGAAAAAATGTTACTTCAGAATATGCAATTGTGGAAGGCAATTAGGCACGCACGCTGAATTGTGAAATAGGCCTCCTGCTTATTTCAATGGTTATCTTGAAGGCTGGCCTCTCTGTCTTCAGGGTACCATTACTATTTATTTTACTTCATCATAAGCGTGAGGAAAAGACTCACAGAGACTACTATGCTCGCACGCATGACCCCAGCTGGCTTTGTGGTAAGGGGTTTTGTTTGGTGTTGGCATCATGGAAGGACATCGACACGGTTACAGCCCCTCAGGCAAAATTTTTCTTTCCGTTTCGATCGTTTCTTTACACATAAAACCCAGGACGACTTGAAACGTAAATCATATTTACACATGCAACCAACAGGCGTTTTCAAGTGTAAATTACGGTGGTTTCGTCAATTCCTTCCGCATTTGATCATATTAAGTTTTTTTTTTTTTTTCTCTACAGAGATTCTAAAAAATGTTACTTCGAAATATGCAATTGTGGAAGGCAATTAGCCACACATGCTGAATTGTGAAATAGGCCTCCTGCTTATTTTAATGGTTATCTTGAAGGCTGGCCCCTCTGTGTTCAGGGTACCATTACTACTTCTTTTTCTTCAACATAAGCGTGAGGAAAAGCCTCAAGGAGACTACTATGCTCGCACGCATGACCCCAACTGGCTTTGTGGTAAGGGGTATTGTATGGTGTTGGCATCATGGAAGGACATCGGCGCGGTTACAGCCCCTCGGGAAAAATTTCTGTTTCCGTTTCGATCGCTTATTTACACATGAAACCCAGGGCGACTTGAAACGTAAATTATATTTACTCATGCAACCAACGGGCGTTTCTTGTGTAAATTATAGTGGTTTCGTCAATCCCCTCCGCATTTGATCATAGTAAGTTTTTTTTTTTTAACAGAGCTTCGAAAAAATGTTACTTCAAAATATGTAATTGTGGAAGGAAATTAGGCACACATGCTGAATTGTGAAATAGGCCTCCTGCTTATTTCAATGGTTATCTTGAAGGCTGGCCCCTCTGTCTTCTGGATACCATTACTACTTCTTTTACTTCAACATAAGCGTGAGGAAAAGACTCACGGAGACTACTATGCTCGCACGCATGACCCCAGCTGGCTTTATGGTAAGGGGTTTTGTTTGGTGTTGGCATCATGGAAGGACATCGACACGGTTACAGCCCCTCGGGCAAAATTTTTCTTTCCGTTTCGATCGCTTCTTTACACATGAAACCCATGACGACTTGAAACGTAAATCATATTTACACATGCAACCAACGTGCGTTTTCAAGTGTAAATTACGGTGGTTTCGTTAATCCCCTCCGCATTTGATCATAGTAAGTTTTTTTTTTTAACAGAGATTCGAAAAAATGTTACTTCAAAATATGTAATTGTGGAAGGCAATTAGGCACGCATGCTGAATTGTGAAATAGGCCTCCTGCTTATATCAATGGTTATCTTGAAGGCTGGCCCCTCTGTCTTCAGGGTACCATTACTACTTCTTTTACTTCAACATAAGCGTGAGGAAAAGACTCACGGAGACTACTATGCTCGCACGCATGACCCCAGCTGGCTTTGTGGCAAGGGGCTTTGTTTGGTGTTGGCATCATGGAAGGACATCGACACGGTTACAGCCCCTCAGGCAAAATTTTTCTTTCCGTTTTGATCGCTTCTTTACACATGAAACCCAGGACGACTTGAAACGTAAATCATATTTACACATGCAACCAACAGGCGTTTTCAAGTGTAAATTACGGTGGCTTCGTCAATTCCCTCCGCATTTGATCATATTAAGTTTTTTTTTTTTTTTACAGAGATTCTAAAAAATGTTACTTCGAAATATGCAATTGTGGAAGGCAATTAGGCACGCATGCTGAATTGTGAAATAGGCCTCGTGCTTATTTCAATGGTTATCTTGAAGGCTGGCCCCTCTGTGTTCAGGGTACCATTACTACTTCTTTTTCTTCAACATAAGTGTGAGGAAAAGCCTCACGGAGACAACTATGCTCGCACGCATGACCCCAGCTGGCTTTGTGGTAGGGGGTATTGTATGGTGTTGGCATCATGGAAGGACATCGGTGCGGTTACAGCCCCTCGGGCAAAATTTATGTTTCCGTTTCGATCGCTTATTTACACATGAAACCCATGGCGACTTGAAAATTAAATCATATTTACTCATGCAACCAACGGGCGTTTCATGTGTAAATTATAGTGGTTTCGTCAATCCCCTCCGCATTTGATCATAGTAAGTTTTTTTTTTTTAACAGAGATTCGAAAAAATGTTACTTCAAAAAATGTAGTTGTGGAAGGCAATTAGGCACGTATGCTGAATTGTGAAATAGGCCTCCTGCTTATTTCAATGGTTATCTTGAAGGCTGGCCCCTCTGTCTTCAGGGTACCATTACTACTTCTTTTACTTCAACATAAGCGTGAGGAAAAGACTCACGGAGACTACTATGCTCGCACGCATGACCCCAACTGGCTTTAAGGTAAGGGGTTTTGTTTGGTGTTGGCATCATGGAAGGACATCGGTGCGGTTACAGCCCCTCGGGCAAAATTCCTGTTTCCGTTTCGATCGATTATTTACACATGAAACCCAGGGCGACTTGAATCGTAAATCATATTTACTCTAGCAACCAACAGGCGTTTCATGTGTAAATTATAGTGGTTTCGTCAATCCCCTCCGCATTTGATCATATAAAATTTTTTTTTTTACAGTGATTCGAAAAAATGTTACTTCAAAATATGCAATTGTGGAAGGCAATTAGGCATGCATGCTGAATTGTGAAATAGGCCTCCTGCTTATTTCAATTGTTATCTTGAAGGCTGGCCCCTCTGTCTTCAGGGTACCGTTACTACTTCTTTTTCTTCAACCTAAGCGTGAGGAAAAGCCTCACGGAGACTAATATGCTCGCACGAATGACCCCAGCTGGCTTTGTGGTAAGGGGTTTTGTTTGGTGTTGACATCATGGAAGGACATCGGCGCGGTTACAGCCCCTCGATCGCTTATTTACACATGAAACCCAGGGTGACTTGAAACGTAAATCATATTTACTCATGAAACCAACGGGCGTTTCATGTGTAAATTACGGTGGTTTCGTCAATCCCCTCCGCATTTGGTCATATTATGTTTTTTTTTTTTTACACAGATTCGAGAAATTGTTTCTTCGAAATATGCAATTGTGGAAGGCAATGAGGTACGCATGCTGAATTGTGAACATGTCTCCTGCTTATTTCAATGGTTATCTTGAAGGCTGGCCCCTCTGTCTTCAGGGTACCATTACTACTTCTTTTTCTTCAATATAAGCGTGAGGAAAAGCCTCACAGAGACTACTATGCTCGCACGCATGACCCCAACTGGCTTTGTGGTAAGGGGTTTTGTTTGGTGTTGGCATCATGGAAGGACATCGGCGCGGTCACAGCCCCTCGGGCAAAATTTCTATTTCCGTTTCGATCGCTTATTTACACATGAAACCCAATGCGATTTGAAACGTAAATCATATTTACTCATGCAACCAACAGGCGTTTCATGTGTAAATTACGGTGGTTTCGTCAATCCCTTCCACATTTGATCATATTAAGTTTTTTTTTTTTTTTTACAGAGATTCGAAAAAATGTTACTTCAAAATATGTAATTGTGGAAGGAAATTAGGCACGCATGCTGAATTGTGAAATAGGCCTCCTGCTTATTTCAATGGTTATCTTGAAGGCTGGCCCCTCTGTCTTCAGAGTACCATTACTACTTCTTTTTCTTCAACATAAGCGTGAGAAAAAGCCTCACGGAGACTACTATGCTCGCACGCTTGACCCCAGCTGACTTTGTGGAAAGGGGTTTTGTTTGGTATTGGCATCATGGAAAGACATCGGTGTGGTTACAGGCCCTCGAGCAAAATTTCTGTTTCCGTTTCGATCGCTTATTTACACATGAAACCCATGGCGACTTGAATCGTAAATCATATTTACTCTAGCAACCAATGGGCGTTCATGTGTAAATTACGGTGGTTTCATCAATCTCCTCCGTTTTGTTTTACAGAGATTCGAAAAAATGTTACTTCGAAATATGCAATTGTGGAAGGCAATTAGGCACGCCTGCTGAACTGTGAAATAGGCCTCCTGCTTATTTCAATGGGTTATCTTGAAGGCTAGCCCCTCTGTGTTCAGGGTACCATTACTACTTCTTTTTCTTCAATATAAGCATGAGGAAAAGCCTCACGGAGACTACAATGCTCGCACACATGACCCCAGCTGGCTTTGTGGTAAGGGGTTTTGTTTGGTGTTGGCATCATGGAAGGACATCGGCGCGGTTACAGCCCCTCGGGCAATATTTCTGTTTCCGTTTTGATCGCTTATTTACACATGAAACCCAGGGCGACTTGATACGTATATCATATTTACACATGCAACCGACGGGAGTTTTATATGTAAATTACGGTGGATTCGTCCATCCCCTCCGCATTCGATTATATTAAGTTTATTTTTTTACAGAGATTCGAAATATGCAATTGTGGAAGGCAATTAGGCACGCATGCTGAATTGTGAAATAGGCCTCCTGCTTATTTCAATGGGTTATCTTGAAGGCTAGTCCCTCTGTGTTCAGGGTACCATTACTACTTCTTTTTCTTCAACATAAGCATGAGGAAAAGCCTCACGGAGACTACAATGCTCGCGCATGACCCCAGTTGGCTTTGTGGTAAGGGTTTTTTTTGTGGTGCTGAATTGTGAAATAGGCCTCCTGCTTATTTCAATGGTTATCTTGAAGGCTGGCCCCTCTGTGTTCAGGGTACCATTACTACTTTTTTTACTACCATTACTACTATTTCTTTTTTAAATTGCAAATAAACTAAGTATATACCCGCACTACAGTGCGAATTATTTCTTAATTATCTTTTTATTAACTTAATGCTATACTTTGATAAAATAAAAATATATTAAAATAAATATTCTATGCATATATGAAGAAATATACAAATCCATATATGAAATTCTGTTTTAGTTGCAGTTTGTGTCATAATCACTATTTATCTAATTTTTACCGGAGGTGGATGTAAGGCAACATATACGGTGGAATGCTTATGTGCAATTTTTCAACTTTACCAATTAGTGTAAACTTTATTTAAATATCCCTGATTCAAAATTAGTTACACACTTATTACTTATAGTTAAAGAAGTTTATGTGTTATCAACTAAATAAACTCATAAATCCGCTCCTAACTTTAATTATTATAAAGCTGGTTTTCCAAGTTATGAGTATTGGTGACCACGAAGCACAAAACTGCACCTAACTGAATCTCCTCCCACCAAGAGCATATTATTACTGTGTCTCATTTCTGAGCTTTCAATCGTATAATATAAAATATTGATCTTATACATACTAAATTTATATCATCGGAGACTGTCGACAATAATAGTATAAATTTAAAATATTGAATCTGAAAAAAAATAAATATGCCAAATATTCGTGAGTAATTTTTTATATAATTCAATATTTTTTAAAACATTTATGAATAAAAACATTTAAATTAAAAGTTTATACATAATGTATAATTTATATGAAATCTGTAGAAAAATAACATCGAGAGAGGCTAAAGATCGAAGACAAACACTTGCCATAATCCTCTTGAGGATTGAGAATTAAGATTAACAAAAAGAAAACAGAACTAACTTGAAGATATAGTTGTAAAAAGACTGAAAAATGAGTTTTGAGATCCAAGTTTTATGAAAGTAATGTTTTCTAGGAGACATTGAGGCTGTTGAAAAAAAGAAAAAAAAAGAAAGCAATGTTTTATAGGATTTGTTTGTGGCAGAGATCATAAAGATGAGAAAGAGAAGAAGTCTTAATCTGCAGAAAGAGATGAGGCGATTCCAATGATCTTGCTGCTATCATCCTTCACCACCGAATCCTTAGAACAATTTGTTGTACATCCCACACCAACTTCACCTTCCTGCATATTCTACAAAATACAATCATAACATAATTTCATGTGCTATTCTTATTATATACTGTATATCGATCAGTAATTAATCAAGCAATGAATTAATGGTGAAGAAAGCCGTAAAAAAAAAATATTAACATTTCCCAATGTGATTTCAAGTTTATAATACTTCATACATTGTCGAGGTTCAAGCATGTAAGTAACTTTTATAATAAACAAATGTCAAAAACAATACAAGATTTCTGTTCGGATCAACAACGATCCTGAAGATTTATAATTTTCTGATTTTATACATAAGCGGCAACATATATTACACACATTATGCTACAAAAGAGAAATCAAATTTACAAAACTGCTCATAAAAAAAGAGAGCTAAAACCGAAGCCTGAACATGTCTGAAGACTGAACCATTTCTCTCATATGCTCTGCTTCAAACCTTCACTCTCCGTTGAGCAACCTGCAGAGCAGAAAAATAAAACACACATCCAATTCCGGTTGCACCATTGATTTCAAACTCTTGAGAGATTTGAGGAAACTAGAAAGATTCGTATACCTGTTTAAATGAAGTAACTTCACTTCCCCAGAGCCAAGCGTCACAGCCTGCGTCTCTAGTGCCCCATACATCATTCCTACGGTCATCTCCTACATGAACCGCATCTTCATGATTCACTCCTAAAACTCACAAGCTTTCAAGAAGATGGTCGGGTTTGATTTCTCCGCTTCAACCTGCGAAACAATCAAACAAAAGCCTTTAATACACACTCACTCCCAAACGTTTCACATCACTGACCATAAAAGGAAAAGAGGTTATGTTACTTCTGCTGAAACAGCCACCGCATAAAACCAGTCTTTACATCTCAGTGCTCGTATGAGAGGTCTTAATCGAGTGTTGAAGTTGGACAGAATGGCAACTTTTACACCCGCTTTTTTAATAGCCTTGAACACTTTCTCTGCCTCTGGATCACATAGCTTCCACGCCTAAGGTCAAGCAAATGGATAAAGTAATCAATAGAAAGTAACGATATTTAAAAATGCTCCTCAAACGTATGGAGAAATAGCAGCTGATATCATACCTGTTCTGTAGTAAAATATCTGTAGAACTCTTCAAAGTACTGAGAATCAGAACAGCCTGTTGATGCACTCACTATATATTGCCTGAAAGGTCTCGCGTCATCTATATATTGCCAGAAAGGTCTTGCGTCATCTACATATCTGCAAACAAAGAAGTCAAAATTAAGAACATCACACACGGTTATCATTTATCACTCGCAGCAAACTCCTTCAGAAGACAACAATTCAATCTTCCTAAGAGTTAGTTTTAAACCTGATTTGCTACAGAGATGCATAATGCACTAACACTATGTAAAATCTGGAACTCAAACAAATGAAAAACCACATAGGAACATTAAAATCCAAACAAAGCTTTGCTTTAATCCTAACACGATGTCCTCACTCTCTTGCTCAGTCATACCCTCAAAATCAAGAATATCCGGTTGCAATATCTCCTCAAAGTCTTGTGCTTGTTCTCTTCCCCTTCTTTCCCTTGCACTTCCAAGTTGATGAATGTTGTCTAGAGGTTGTAGTAGATTGTTGTCACCTCTAGACCTCAGATTCATGTACCTGAGAATACAAGTTTGAAGGTAGATAGATTAACAACCAAAGTAAAAATAAAGACTTAGTCTCTACTAAGCCCAAATCCTAATACTTTCAAATCAAACCCAAGTTGGCAACAGCTCCATTTAATAACAAGATTTTTCTAGCCTTTAACTTATCAAATCCTAAAGCAAAGCATAGTGGTAAGTACTTTAGGTGTCAATCCAGCTCAGGTTCATGAAAGATACTAGGAATGCAAGAACTTTGTAAAGAGTGAAATCCAGATTAATTTGAGGAGAAAATCTATGAAAACTAAATACAACAACTAAATGACCACGAAAACTATTTTAAAATCCCTACCGATGGGTTAAACAGATACTAGATGGTTTCTAGGAATTTAAAATGCAAAACTACTAGTTTTTTAAAATTCGAAAACTAAAGGGATACAGAAAAGGAATGTTCTAACAACCTACGATGATATTCAAGGAACCAAGACAAAAGATGTAAACTTTAAAACTAGGAAATGATAACTTTAAGTTTTTAAATGATAAAAATAGATTCAAGGTTGAGGATCATGTTTAAGAGGTTCAAGATTTAAACTTTGGGTTTTGAAAACATAGATCTACACATTTGAGTGCTATCTCTAAGCCTTGAGAAGCTAAACTAGATTTATTTATGGCGTGTGGTATAAATCCTTTCCTCAACCTCTCCTCCTAGCTCATGGCGTGTGGTGGAAAGAAAGATTGAAGAACATGAAGCATAAATCTCAAATAATGGCCTAACTAGCTTCCTAAGCATCCATGGCGTTTGAGAAATGATGAACTAGTCTCTTGGATTTGGTTTTAAGGGATCTCCTGAATCCTGCTAAGGTAAGGAAATCCCTGAGATCAAAGAGATCTTTCTCAAGACTCTCTAGGCATTAAAACCCCCAAATCCAAGAAGAGATTGAGTTAAGAGCAAGAAAAGACTAAAGCTTAAACCTTTAAACCCTTTAATAACCTCAACCTTAAACCTTTAAAAAATTACTCACTAATCATGATTAAAACAGATGAAAATGCAAAAGAAGAAAAGATAAACATGATTAAACTACTAAGCAAGAAAGATTAAGAAAAATACTTAAGATTAAAGCAAGATTAAGGTCTACAAAACAAGAACAGCTTAAAAAGGTAAACAATGGCGGTTTTTCAAAGCATGAAGATGATAGAAAACTAAGCAAGAAGGAGACAATAAGTATTGTTCTGCCTCGCTCCCAAAATAGGGTAGACAAGGAAAATGGTCCCCTCATTAAAATCCAAAACATGAGCTGTCCGGATAAGGTTTCAAGATCGATCCGAGTCGTCGATCTCTCACTCGATCTTTTACGTATAACATCTTCTTTTGCTCGATCTTTGGGTCGATTCGGTTGGGTGGATCGAGTGCTTCCATCGATCTTCTGGTCTAGATCGACCTGCCTAGCTCAATCTGCGCCTTGATCCCAGTTCCTTTGCTGCATGGCTGAGTTCCTCCACGTATCCATAGGCTCCCTTTCGATCCTTAGCATGTCCACACACCCTCTATAGCTCCAGTGTAGCCAAAACAACCTGAATATGATGCAAGAATGCAAGAAACATGCAAAATGCTAATGCAAAGTGTTCTAGGACCTAAAATGAGATAAATGGTGTAAACTAGCCTATTATGAAGGATGTATGCATGAAAACTACTCTAAATGCATGCTAAATATGCGAAATATATGAGTATATCACTAAGAGACTTAGGTCAGTAAATAGGAGCAGTTATAATCGTTAAATGTGCATCGAATTATCTCGAATCGTAGTAAGTCGTCGGAGATTGGTAGATAAATAGAAATTTTCTGGGCACACGAACTGGGTATTACTGGACCAACTGATATTACTAAGATAGCGGGTATTAGTGAGAGCAACTGGTATTACTGAGCATTGTTTAGAAAATGGTTTTCCTGATAGAAGTAGTATTACATGAACAACTGGGGTATAACTAGAATAGTATTACTGGTTAGAGAACTGATATGATTGAGACATATACTTATGATTTTTGTTATTGTTATTTAGAGGACAATGAATAGAAGTCGTTGCACTGTTATATGCTTCGATTATGGGGGATGTTATTTAAAGGACGGTGATGTCATAAGATGGGTATCATGAGAAGATGAAATTCACACATTAGTGATGAAGACGTCTGTTGAGGAGGTAACTTATTCTGGTTGATCATGGGAATATGCTGGAAGATGAAGATAGATGAAGCTAATACGCAGCTGAAAGTCATTTACTTTCCATTGGTAGTGGATCCTAAGCTATCATATATCTAGAATGATGATAATGTTTTTGGCTACCTGATGCAAGTGAATAACAATACATGCAGAAATGTTTTGCATGTGGAGATCGTGAAGGATGTCGATCAAATTCAGAGTTTTGTGCGATCGTGAAAGTGGTATGAATGTTAATGCTGGTATAATTACTCTTCACCGAGGTGAACCATCAGAAGCCCATCTAGCAGAATAAAGAAATGTTTCAAGGGAAGAGGTTGATGATACTGAGGATGGACCTGCTATAGAAGAAAAAGCAGTAAATAATGGTTGAGAAGATGATATTGAAATGATTCTTGGTCAAGAATTTAGAAGTAAGCAGACAGTGCAAGATTTAGTTCATATAGGTTCACATCAGAATTGTTTTGAGGATGATACAATCAAGTCTGACAAAAAACGATATGTGTTAAAATGTCACGAAGCAAAAAATGGTTGCAAATGGTCTTTGCGAGCTGCAAAGTTGATGGAATCAGATTGTTTCTCGGTAAGAACTTATAACAAGATGCATACATGTTCTCGAGCTTCTACAATTACAGTCAGAAATAAAAGGAAAGGGATGCCAGGATTGGTTGCATCTGTTTTGCACAAAGATTATCCGGGTAAATTTGACACTCCAATTCTAAAACAAGCTGCAAATAATGTGCGGGGAAGTCCAGCAGAAAGTTACCAGTTGGTGTTTTCTTGTATGTACATGCTAGAGTCGATGAATCCTCGTACATGGGCTTATGTGGAATTGGAAGAAAACAAAAAGTTCAAGTACGTATTCTTTGCGTTAGGAGCTAGCATTGAGGGATTCCAAGCCATGAGAAAAGTCATTGTTGTGGATGGAACCCACCTTAAGACTGGATATGGTGGTGTTTTATTAGTTTCTACAGCTCAAGATCCTAATCATCACCATTATCAAACTGCGTTTTGTGTAGTTGATGGTGAAAAAGATGCTTGCTGGATGTGGTTTATGAACATGTTGAAATCAGTGATACCAGATGATCCTGTATTAGTGTTTCTTTCCGATAGAAACTCAAGCCTCATCAAATCTGTGCAGGTGGTGTTCCCGTTGTCTCAGCATGGGTATTGTATACAACATTTGTCTCAGAATGTAAAAGCGAATGTCTACTACATCAACACAGATACATGCGTGAAGAAGTTCATAGAATGCGCTCATGCCTATACAAAGAGTGAGTTCCTGACACTTTTTGATGCTTTTAGAACCAAATATCCTTCTGCAGCTGAATATTTTGATGGTAGTGTTCCTGTGGACAAATGGGCAAGATACTATTTTCCAGGAGAAAAGTACAACATAGATATCTCTAATATTGTAGAATCTATTAATGGTATTCTTACGAAAGCACGAAAGTACGCTCTATTACCAATGATTGATGTGATTGTTGAAAAACTGGCTGAATGGTTGAACAGGCATAAGAACAGTTCTGCTTAAGTATCAAGCACCCAGAAGCTTGTGCCTTACGTGGAGAAAGAAATGTTTAAAACATCACCGGAAGCAAAGAAATTAACGGTGCATGGGTTGAATGCCTTCTTCCTCGAATTCAATGTCACTAGAAAAGATGGCAAGTACTATTTGGTTGATATGAAAAGGAAAAGCTGTAGTTGCAATTGCTTTAATATAGACAAATACCCATGTGTGCATGCAATAGCTGCTGCCATCTTTAGTTGCTGGTGTTATGGATCGTAATATTTATAAGAAGAGTTTGTCTGAACTTGTAAGGTTTTATGGCTGAAGGAGTTTGTTTATTTCAATTATTAAGTGTTTAAAAACGTGTATTAATTAATTTAGTGTTTTATTTGATTTTTAACATTATTAAAAAAATATACATTCGATATCAAATAAACAATTAGTAGGTGTTTAAAAACATGTATTAATTAATTTACTGTCTTTATTTTATTTTTAAAATTATGAGGAAAACCTACATTTGATTTAAAACAAACAATTATCAAGTGATTAAAAACGTGTATTAATTAATTTACTGTTTTTATTTGATTTTTTAATTTATTAGAAAATTCTTCACCTCCATAAGGATGCCGTCAATATGAAATAAATAACTATAAAATAAGTAAATAATTATGAAACAAACAAACAAATAAAGGACATTTCCATAACAAACACCATACACTTCTATAAACACTTTCTTATTACTAACCACCATATGAAGCCAAAGATATATACGATGAATTTTAAAACATTTTAATGCATAAAAACCTCAGACTTAACAACTTAATGACTAAAATCGTCTGTAAAACTACAAATAGAAATTTATTGTGGAGTTAAACATAATATAGTTG